TAATATGACAACATATATATACTGTGCACATAAAAATAATAACTTACTATCGTATTATGTGTAACATTAAATATGTACACACTATTAGTAGCTGTAGCAAGACCACCATAAGTTACTATGCCTCCAAACATTATTCCTTTATTTTGATTTATTCTATTGATTGTAAAGGTACTAGTTGGAGGGCAACACTGTCCACTGACAGATGGAACAGTCAATTGTCCTAAAAATTAATTCATAACTGTATATAGATCTAATAATTAATTGAAAATAATGTCATTTGAACTCACCATCAGATAAATTATACAGTAACTGTTCATTAGTAATAACACGTCCTCTCTTAAATTGCTCATATTGAAACTGAGGATGTTTGACAGCTGGTGCAGGACCCATTCCTCCGACAATAAAAAGATAGTCAGTTCCATCAAACTTGAGTGATAGCATTTCAGCATGGCCTTTCTTCATCCTGGATTCATCAGTAGGATGCAATTGAGTCCAGCTCATGGTCAGTGTATTTAGTACATTTAAACTGTTGTGGAAACATTCATAATGACCACAGCTACCAGCAAAATAATAAATATTAGAACGAAAGGTGGTACAGGAGTAGCCACTGACTCCTAAAGGAGGAGTGCCTCTTGTTAGGTGAGAGGACCAGCGAGCTGATGAAAAGGAAAATGTCTCAACTGTTGAGGTCACTTTCCTCTTTTCAGGTGAATCATGCACTAGAGGTAAATCAGGCTGGGTCCCTCCCCACAGGTAGAGTGAGCCTCCTATTACTGGAGCTGAGTGTCCAGACCTCCCTTTGAATTTATAAGTACCTGTCAAGGAAAGAAAATAAAATTAGGAAAAAAAAAAAAATTAAACTAACCTGACATTTTCCAGCAAAACAGTGGTCAAGAGGCGTCAGCCCCACCTAAAAGGGCATTGGCTGTTGGATGGGCGTTGGCAACAAAATCACACAAAATGAATAATGAAATACAAAATTTAATTCATAGTACAGTACATGTAAGGTTCTATTGATCTTCTAGCATAGCCTGTACACTATCCCTCAGTTCCTGTGGGAGTCCCTCCAGCAGTTCCTCTTCATTTATATTGAGGTCCAAGTTCTGCACAACATTCATTCCATCACTTTGTTGGAGTACAATCATATCAGATGAAGCCTATTCAGTTGTGATAGCCAACTGATCAAGAGGATCAGAATCAGGTTGAAGGAGAGAGAGTAGATCAGACATATTAAGAAGAGAAGGATCAATGGAGTCCACTCCTAGTTCATTAGTAACAGCTTCCAAGAGGACATTCTCATCTGGTATGACTGTGGATGGGAATGGAGAGGTGGGAGTGGAAGAGTGAAAGGGAGGGAAGTGAGGACCAGCACTATCAGGAAGGAAGAGATTATCACCACCTGGTGATGATATGCTTTTAAAAATTGACTAAAATCTGAATAATGCCCTGGTTTTTCTGAAAATGGCTCTAAAATTATCACAATTTTTTTACATTTTCTGATACATATTGATGTCCTTATGCTATATAGAAAGTTTGAGCTGATTCTGACTACAATTTTTCAATTTATTAGCATTCAAAGATCATATAGTAGAACAAGATGTTAATAAGTTTATGGTCATGGCCAATGAAATACCAGGTACCATCAAAAATGCACCTTGCAAGCTAAGCAGTAGCTAAATGAGCAGGCAAACAACTGAACGCTATGCCAAGTGGGAAACCGTGCCCCACCTTGCATGTAGTATAGCAGCTATACACTATCCAGTGTTAGTTTAAACATGAATTAAAATAATGAAGAAGCAAAACAATTACAAATTTTGTAACTAAAGCAGCAATTAAGCATCAAGATTAATATTAAAATCAAATCCCAGTTCATTTCTAATAGCTTCAATCCAGTCCTCACCTAAGGCTATTGCTGTATCAGCATAACTGCCTCTTACAGCAATAAATGAGCTTAAGAACTTTTGACAGTGCTCCTGCACTTGAGGTAACTTCCTCTTAGACTTAAGACTAGCCTTGAACTCATCGATACACTTGTCTATTGAAGGATTTCCTCTGACAGCATTATTGACCAAACGAAGAGCAAATAATTGATTGGCAAGATCAGGGACAGCTTCCTTTGATAGTGAAGTAAGATCAGCGTAATGAGATACAAGAACATCATTGATCACTTTCTTTACTTTATTGACATCAACAGTAGCTGATATACCTAATAGAGGTCAAAGGTCAATGTAACTTAATTCACACAAACCATGCATAAATGCACACACACACACACACACACACACACACACACACACACACACACACACACACTGTTACTTACTAGCTCCTCCAGTGGATGGTGCAGTAGCTTCAGTAATTGTATTAGAAGAGGAGGAGGAGGTAGTAGAATCTGATTAATATTAAATAAATAAACAATTAAAATGGTTCATCTGTTACTTGTTGTCCTCAGTGATGTATGAATATATATTGTAGCAGGATGAGCCACACCTTCCAGTGGTACAGAGTAATTTAGTGTAGGAACAGCATCAGGTGATCCATACACTGATATCAGACAAGATGGAGGAA